TTGACGAGGTTAGTCGTACGTGCGGTTGTTCATCAGTTTCAGACAACCTATTGGTTGTATTTTAAATAGCTTTAGCTTTTGCGCCCCTCAATAAAGGAGGAACTTATTGGGCGATTCACCTTTTTGAGAGCCGGGCAAATCATTACGTCAACTGGAAAGTATAAATAACCATCTATTCATTACTTAATAAAAAAACATGTGTATATGGTGCGAACAAAAACATGGATTCACTTGGACAAAACCAGAATCTACTAAACCATGAGTACGGGATGAATTTGGTTGCACCACGGCTACGGCAAATCCTCGCACAAGTCAGCATACATCTGGACTTCATAAATATTTAACACATCTCCACCTAGTCGAGGTGCCATTTATGGACCTATCGAGAATGTGCCTATATCGTTCATGTGTCCAAATGACGTTTCCGAATTGGTAAGATTATGAAGAGTTTTTAAATAATTTCTGTCAAGCCCGCATTCTATTATGAGATGTGAATCTACCTTCAAGGTAGCTCAACCAGTAGGTGCTCATCCAGTAGATGAAAAGTCGCCTGCTGGATTGCGGACCAAGATCACTGCATTTTGCTTGCGCCAATATAACTTAACTTTCTATTGCAACAGTATGGTCAGGTCGATAGGCCGGAGCCTTTGCACGAAGAGGAAGGCCTGTCGTCATTTGCGACCGGCAAAACTAATGATACAGTGAGGAGTGCACAGATATCTCCTACCTAGCATATAGATAACCAGCGTTCCGTAGCCACCACAAGAGTAACTATCGAGGGGGGCATCCCCAAAGACTTAATGCGTCCACAAGTACTAAATGTTTGGTGCCAGGTAATCCTCAGTGCCTGAACAAGTGTACTCCTTTCAAAGGTCACAGAACACATGATCTATATTCTATTCCAAATTGAATAGAACACCGCTTGATTGCCATAGAACTAGGCGAGATTACTTAGGATCGCGGATGACCTAGATCAAGTAGGGTGGAATGCGAACAAAGCGTCGCCTCGAATGGCACCAAAGCAGGTGATAATGAACTCCAAAATATCTTTGGAGCGATTCATCCACCAGTTTATTAAGTGAAAAAAAAACATCCAAAGCAGCTACCAAAGGCTGACTTCAACAACATTCAAAAGTATTTAATCTTCAGGAACGCTTCCTTTCAGACCTTTTTGCGACGAAACTATTGTGTTTTCCTCATGGCAACTTGACAGACTATCACGATTGTGTGCCTTTTTACTTGCCGCAATTGTGTGTGAAATTATGCACAAACCTTAAGGCAAGAGAACAATTTTTTAATAATAAAAAGCAGCTGTTCTGTCCGCATGATATTTCTTCGTTGAGAAATAAATCAATCGTCCGCACTCGGTGCCTGAATAGAAGGGAAACCGTGAGAGCAACAACTTCCGACTTGCATACAAATACTACTAGCTAATTTCTGGTTGATTCCAGTTCAGAGTCCCAATGAAGACACATCAAGTAAGCAATCAATGCTGGATATTCATGCTGTATTTTAATAAACGTGTATTTTAAACGTATTGGTTCAATGGAGCCATTTTTGTCCATCTTCAAACCGATGTCTTGGCATATGGCAGTCGAGTACTGCACTTCTTAAAGCATAACTGTTTCAGTAATTAACAAGAAAGAGCATGGAAACTTCTCAATAAATTGAACTCTTCGACAAATACACTCACCTGATTCCCTTCGAAACCGAAACTTGCAGAGTGCACCGAGAAACCGGTACTAGTCATTTTTATCGTGCATGAACTGTGATGTTTCAGCATGTGACTGCTCCAAACAGTGTTATCTTTTAACCAAAAGGACATGGGACCGATGCTGCTGTACTCAGATGGTGAATTCTTCCCAAAACTAAATTAGCAGTGGACTGCTTTCCAGGAATACCTACATCGTGTATTTTCAGAAACTGCGATTTTAGAACCTTTGCATGTTTTGTTTATGAACACCTCCATCACGTAAATACGCCTTGGAATAGAATAATTTTCTCGAGAAATGCACTCATTTGCAAATCAATTTGGTTTTCACGGGAGACTCAATTTGGGTTCAAGTAGATCATAAAGTTGACGGAAACTCGGGGACTGAGGCTACCTGATGAGCCCCAAGAAGGGCGAAATCGGTCGTGGGCTGTCGAAGGATTTTTCAGCGACCTTGTGAGTAGTTTGCTTTATGAGAATGATTTTCCGGTTGAAAATGATGCCAGATGAAAAAAGCTTTTAAATAGGGTTCTTTGTTCTTGTAAGATTTAAAATGTTAAATGGTACAGTTACTGTTTAAAGATGACCTATTTTTTCAGCAAATATGGTTATGCATCAAGTAGTTTGTTGCAAACATTTAAAAAATAACCAGCGCCTGACCTAAGGAGGTGGTTTAAGTTGACGCCCATAGGATGTACAGGTGGTGCTTTTGTATTTTTGTTTTTGACATGCTGTTGTTTCTGTATAATTTCACTTCGTTTGGTCGTTTGACCTCGGCGCTAGGTTTGCATGATTTGGACATTGACCACATCAATCTTGAACCCATTGTTTGGTTAGCGGAAAATCCCCTTGGTGGTGCCTTGAGTAAGTTTTTCCTATAGCATCTCTTTGCAGGTTAGTGATTACAGTGCAAACATCTGATTAATTGGTAGCCACTAGATCAGGTTTCTTAATTCATTAGTCGGTGTATCTAAGCTGCATTCTATAGCTCTTATGGAAAAATTTATTTCTGGACGAAATCAAGTGAAACTAAGAGAGGAAACACGACCCTGGGAAATCTAATCGAGTGAAAGGCATGGTACTTAAGAAGAATGTTGATTATTCCAGCAAATGAACAGAAACCCCATAAGTTTGCGTTTGTAATTACATTAAATCTAAGAATATATTTTTCTGTATCGGTAGAATTCAGAAGGGAAAACGTAACTTTTTATTCGCACCAAAACGGGTACTCAGTACCCGCAAAACAACTTTTAGTCTGATTTACCTCTTATTTTCTCGATATTGTTTACTCATTAAGATATTTTTCGCCTTCAGAGCCAAATCCACACAACCGACCTTGGGGTAAGGCGATATGGAGAAACAACGAACTGGGTCCACTTATCATTGTTATTACAATAACATCGGCCTCAGCCAGTACCAGATGGCATGCACGTACCCATCAGGTACTTGCTGAGGCCGATCACGTTTACTGCTACTTGTATGCTTGTAAGCTTCACAGCTTATCTATTTCAATCGACTCTTCGTTATCCAGACGACTATGATTTCGACTTTGGTAAGCATCGTGCATTTCTTATCTAGTCTCGCTAGAGTTACTAAACCGTCTTGAGGGCTTCGCCATAACAAAAAGTCAGCCCACCAGTTACCTATACAAGGTGTTTTTCCAGGAACCCATTATCATGTATATTTTGTTTAAAGTTCATCTTCCAGCAGATAAATGTATCTGAAGAGTTACATAATTCGAATGATGAACAGATTCTTTAGTACATTAAAGTGAATCGACCTGTGCGCTGGAACTGTTACCTCACCAGTCAGTTACAGTATGTAGGTTAAGTGAATTAAAACGGTAGAGATGCCTGGGCTGAAGAGAAGACAAGTACTATTAATGTGAAGTTGTTGGTACTAATTATGAGATGAACTGCTCTAAATCTCTTATTACAAAGAAGCGCAACCTGCTCATTCAGGATTTGGATTGCTCCTATCACTAAATATTAGCAAGAAACACACACAAACGTCATTTCGGTTACCTCAGTTGTTTCTTTGAGGGTCAGGACTCCTGAAGCCTTCAATATTGCGTTCCTTTTCCATCTCTCAATATGTGTTAAACGCGTGATAAACCACCAGGTCCAGGTGAGTTCCGATACAATATTCCACTCTGTATCTGTAGCGCTTAATGTAATAATTTATAAATCTGTGTCTCAAATCACATTCCAGAGTGGAAAGAAAATATGCCTGACGACCCAAGTAGTAAGTGGTATAGGCCTTCATACTTAGGTCACTGTTTGACTTTCACAGTTTGGCTTAGACATAATAAGTATTGTTCCATCCAAACTGAGTTAAGTTCGATTCAGTGAAGAAGCAAATACCTTAATGCTGTGTATATTATATTTCTATTTGTTTAACTGCGCAGAGTCATTCTTAAGGATATTAATAAGACTTCGCGAATAGGAATTCAGTATGACTGTTCAAGATAAAGATGCACTCCGTTTCTTGCATTCGAAGCAACCCAGGCTGGTGTTAGTCAAACAGAAACGAATATCTAGTAGGTTTACCTGAGTTGACCGTAGGTAGTTGTCACGCATTTTTACACAATCTTACGCGATCTCTGCGTCTTATCATTTTTCAGCCGATGAACCGACCAGTGAGCGCTTAAGCACCTAAAGTCATTCAAATTATATCACTTCACGTTGCGTTTCCTGTTTTTCCTCAACTTTTCCACCTGCCAGCACAAGCGCACACGCAAGCGCATAAAGCGTATATAAACCAAGACCCATTCCACTTCTATGTGCTTAAAGTTCCATGCGTCTTGTTTTAGCTATTCCGTTGGTTTAGTGGTAAAGAAGGTAGTTGAACTGAAAACATCCATTTGTCCACCGAACAACTGGAAATGTGAAATAGTTATTTCCTCCATCACTTTACAGTCTGTCTCTTTTTGTTTTAGGTGACGAAGAACAAGAAAAACGTGAGCAAATGTGTGGCACAATATCTGCTATTGTCACTTTAGCCTGAGAAATGTGTACGCAGTTGGTTTGGTGCCGAATTCTAGGTCAGTTCACACGTTCCTTCTCCAAGTTCACTGTCAGACCATGGGGGTCACCTGGTTCTCTTTGAAAGCCCCATTTCAGCCAATCACCATGTAGTCTACCAATCAGCGGTTAAAACACCTTCAACTCTATCCAACATTAACTGCGATTTTCGCTCCTTCCACATTAAATCGGTTAGCTATTCACGTTTTCATTCGAGAGTTATCAGCTAATATGCTCTCAAACATCGTCCCAACTGATAACATGTAATGTGTCGCACATATCAAATTATTCAAACGGGCCTGGTGAGTGTTGACGGTAGGGGTCCAGTTTTGAATAGTCTGCCATGAACTGTGCGCTTATCGTCCCTTACTATATGAGGTAGATTAACGGATCATGTATCCACTTCACTCTGTCTACTCTGCTTATCAAATATCTGCCTTAAAAAGGTTTCATTCTGTCAAACTTTTAGCTCGCATTTCCGACGAAGATTATTCAAGTAAGTCAAAAAGAATTTATTTATTCTCACTTTTACTATGTGTATCTCCATTGAATGGAGGGTTTTGTATCCATCCGAATCCAGCAGATTTTGTGGGTATACAACTGCTTGGTTTCTTTTTGCAATACAAATCAGGGGTCTGCTAGCATGCCAGTTAATTTGTCAAGAAAATTTCAACTGCGTTTCTTGCAGAAGGTGAAGCACTAGGGACAGTTCGTCGAAAATGACGTTATCTCGATGACTCTTTTTGTCTAGAAAATCTGAACTGTGCATGAGATTTAGCCACTCTTTAGGTTTTGTTTTGAAGTTGGTTCACTTTCAGCCGTTTCACATTTCGTTCTCTGATAATTTTCATCTCCAAATGATGTCTCTCCTAGCCGAATATCCAAGCGGGGATCTTCAAGGTAAGCGGGTTGTTTAGCTCAAATGACTGGTTGACGAAGAACAAAAAGCTCATCTTCCGAGGCTATATGTGATAAAATGAATTCAGTCGAATGAGTCAAGAACTAATTTGGAACTTAGCAGCATATAAAAGTCGTGACTCCACCAAAACTGCGTTGCTCCTACCCAGATATGCATCACGCTGTTGAGTGTGTTGTAAACAAGCAGAAACTGTTGATAGCTATACTAAGAAAGTAACAATCAAGACCTATCCTGCCAACCGGCCATGAAGCATTGGCTGATGCGGATACATCCATCGAATTTCACTAACTTCTTAAAGTACCGGGATATCACATAGCGTTATAGGTATAGTGAGGAACTGTGGATCATGTATGTGCCTCGTCTTCCGCTAACATCAGACGTCCGTGATTATATGATATCCTGCTCGAATACAACACTGATGAGCCCCGTTAACTTGTCACAACCCACACCGACCATAATAACGGGTGTGTAAGTGCCAGTCATTTAATCATGAATGTCTCTGCCGGTTTAGGGAGACCCCTATACGTGCGTCCGGATAGACGTGCACTTCACTCGAGGAGGCTGAGCATAAAAACCCTCTTACGAGAGTTACCTTGCTGGTTTTACTCAAAGCCAGTCATGTTCAGGTATGCACCAAAGGGTTAAGGTTGGGTACAACTAAAGCTAAGAAGGTTTGCATCCAAAGGGAAGCAACCCATTGGGGTTCGTTGTTTCAGACGTGGTCTTGAACTGGCAACCACATGAATACGACATTTGTGTCTTTTATCTGGCATTTAAATTTGAAAACTTCACCAGTTTTTAAACAACATTTCCTTCCACACAAGTGCGTAAAAGCTACACTCGAAAGGTCCCTAGCTCTAAAAAACCTGGCTAGATAATGATTAGTTATGTTGGTCATTGTCAAATAACTTCAATCCTTGATAGAACTCAGTCAATTACTCCCCAGATTATAATCCTTATATTTTTTAACGCCTTACAAAAACATGACTTGCTCTTGTACTTGGTGCATAAGTTAGTATAAGCTCACTTAGACAATGCTTACCATTCCTAATATACTACTTAATTTCTTACTTCTCTCGGCCGGCTAGATGGCTTGGTTTCAGTATCCAAGATTACGTAGCAAAATTACCTTATCAGAGCTTTATAGGGTTATACAATCCAGGACGAGAAGATACTTGATTGTATGGATGCACAAAATTTCCATTGTGTTTAATATTGCAATGCAGTATGCATATACACTTACTTGTTTCGAGACTATTTGTTTGGCTGTATAGTGCACAGAGGCATCTTGAATTTAAAGTTATTTCGTTTAGGTACATTTTGTTTTCTTAACTGAGCCATGCTTCATTAAGGTCAGTGTTGCATCCAATAATGCCGCAGAATATTTCGATTGTTGAGCTCTTTTATTTGGCTGTGAACAAGTACTGTGATTAATAAGGTGTAAGAATATTTGAATTTTGCCAAGCTATTATTCGAGATATGTGATTTGCACATCTTCCGAAACTATGTAATGCTTCATTGATGAGTGCACACCAAGCTCGTTGTCGTCTCTCTTCTAAGCAGAGTATCGTGACCGGTAGCTGGCCTGATATAATGCATAATGGGTTTTCGGATTCTCCACAAAAGGACTTTGTCGGCCTATTTATGTACCGTGTGCATATTTGCTTCTGCAGTCCAGGCTGATCTAGCAGGATTTTTTCAGTAGGACCTAATGCCGCACTACCGGGTCTATGTCAATAAAATCCGGATACATGTACATCCGAGTAGATAGACAATGCACATACAAACCGAACTCGCCGAGATGTGTACCCAAGCTTTCCGAATTGGATGTTCATTCAGGGACATTACCGATGACCTTACTAGTTCGCAAATTTCAGCAAATAAGCAAAATTGTTATCCATCTTGCGTTTCTACTCATTTGGTAATCTAAGTAAAAACGTCGAGGTTAATGTGTAATCGAACTGTTCACGCTCGCGTAGTTCGTTCTAATGTGGTTATTAGTGTTTACCGAGCAGTCAACAGCGCGGACAAAAATCACCTGGCTTGGTTTTATCGAGTTTCTTCAGCAATCACAGCATGAATATGTCGAAGATTTTGGATCCTTTGTTGTATATCATTTGCATACAGTATACAACTTTGTGAGTATACTCCAGTCGAATTCAAGAATTTCTATTTTTCTATGTCTAACTTAGTACTTCTTATCCTTATCCTGCTGTTTAATAAATGCCAGAATCACCAGGTGGACCTGACTTGCCAGGTGAGAATTAGGATGATATTCTTACTCTACGTTACCTGAGTAGTTGGTAGAGACTGGACTGGATGTAGGAAGCATTCTGAAACCCATAAATCGTCCCTAGCAAAAGCATTATTAGACAACTCGATGAATCAGCTTGTTTTGGATGCACACTACACAGCCCAGAAACAGCGTGGTGTCTAACGGAAATTAAGTTCACCCGGAAAAATATTGACCAGTCAACGTAGGTCCGTGTGTTCTGTCCAGTGCTGCACCTATGCTAGGCTTAGTTATCCAGACGGGAACACTAAATTGCTCATCCATGTCTTGAACAGACTAATTTCGTGTACACAGGTCAAGGCCATAAGGCAACAGTGTCTCAGACTGACACCCAAACAACCTTAGACTGCCCTGGAGTACTGACTTAGCTCAGAACGAAGGTATTGAACTAAAAACGTCGTTGCTGTTCATTTGATGTTTTGATTCCACCTGGTGTATTAGAATAATCCATAATTCAGGCATTGCATTGATTCTCTTTCACATCTAAGCGGAATGAAAACTTTAGGTTAAATGTGTGTGTGCTTCCATCCAGCTTACTCATGAAGTTTTTTTCTCAACCAGCCAGCTTGCCTTTTGTGCAACCTGGACAACTGGTGAACTTAGTGACTGCTGTCTCGCTTTTCCCCAAAGTGGAATTCGGGTTCATCTTCGTGGAGTTAGACTGAAACCCTACGTCAGCTGCGTGTATCAAAACGTTTACGCAGAGTTTCAAACTAATATCTCAAAAAACTATCCGCACAGATTCATTTCAAGGGCGATCAGCGCAGAATATGCATAAGCACAACCAATGTGCCGTTTAAGTATGCTGTCCAATACTTTGTGCAACTCTGGATACGGGTAGATTTCCGGTAAAACATCCACAGAGCCTGGTGGTAGATTGCAGGTCGAACCTTTCCAAACCATTGAATTAAAGCTTTGCTTAGGCTGGTTGGACGAATGCAAGTGACAATTGTCAGAACTCTGGATGCCTTAGGTTGAGATAAAACCGAATATCTTGAATTCAAGATTGTTTCCCACAATATTTCGCAAAAAACAATACAAAGCTCACGGTCGCCTACTTCGCCATCCAGATCATGCTAGAAGCAGATGTACAATGAAGTTTCTAGCCGATTTCCATGCACAGAACCACACTGATGTATGGGCTTCAGCGACCGTCATCAGTTTTCGAGTCGCTCATATCTGTCCTTCATGTGAGGACTACTCAAGTACACGAATAACTGAAATATTGAAACGCCCTGTAGCTTAGCCAGCTTGAATAAAATGGGACATGATATTCATGATTTTCATTTGAAGTGATGTTCCATTTGGCGGACATATGGGGTTATTTGTTCATCCGGTTTACTGGTCCACAAGTTTGGGTGAAACAATTTTTCCAGACACATTATTCTACTGGTGAGAATACTGCTTCATTGTCTTGTTTGCTTCTTCATCTTGAGAAGTTCATAAAATCAAGGAGTTAGTTAGAAAAAGTGCCCCGATTTAGGACACTCAAAAAACTAGAGATCGAGAGCGACCCAACTGTTAAAAAATCATGCCGGAGCAGGGGATGCGTTGAACTGTTGGTAGTCCCAAGTGGCTCAACTCACTACTTATCTGCATAGAAAAATGGTCAAAATGGCACGCTTTTCTTGAAGTTGAACTCTGTAGAAAAACATTCGTGCATTTCTTGTTGCTGCAAGCTGAACTTGTGAATGTAACTCCCTCCAATCCCTCAACCAACCAAGCGAGTAAAACGGTAACTTTTTCCGACTTCTACCGCTCTGTTGCGCTCAAGCATGTCGGTAACAGAGCATCACACCAGGGGAAAATATGCAAAGGCAATTTGCAATACTTTCGAGGTTCGCAACGATTTTGTAAGGGTGATGGTGTATTTTTACCAGTATGATAACTTGCTAAATTGTGGTTCACATACACACACACAAATACACACATACATAACAAACAACAACAATGCTAAACTAATTAGGTTCGTGTGAATGGATAACACATCCGCCAGATGATATGGCACAGCTAGGTACTTTTCTAAGCGATATGATTTGTCGGCTGAGAATACGAACGAGGAAGGTTATTTAAACTGGTTTATACTTGTACTTAAGCCATCTTCAAATGATGAACCGCCGTATATTTGGACGGCATTTGCGTTCTCCCTCACGGCGACGAGGTCCCTAGTCTAGATCTTGCTTAGACGTCACAAATTTCCTATTCTACTTCACTTCCTGAATAAGGTTAACTTCATCACCTAGGAATCTGTTGGATTACTTGCACGCTACTCACTAAACCTAAGTAACTAAATCGTGGAACGGCATCCTCATGAGTTTTTTGTACAGCTAACTCCCAATTATCGCTTTGGCCACTTTTACCTTGTTTTGGAATCATATGTGACTGGAAAATGGTGAACATTTCGAACAGAGTCTGTTCTGAAACTTCATGGCTGAAGAGCAATGTGCACTTGAACCTTCTTCAAAATATATTTATAAACAAAACTGTCCGGTGACAGTTTTGCGAATACAATGCATGCGGACATTTTCTTCTGATATTCGACAGTAACTTCTGCAATACGATTGGCCAAGGACTGTGAACCGTCTTTCATTTGAGCGATTCCAAATCCGTTTCATCCTGTGGTCTAGGCATGTGTGGCAAAAAATGTCTTCTCGCTCCATCCAGATATCGTATAAATTTCAGCTAATGAACCCGATGGTAAATTTTTAAGCTTTCAACAATGTTACGCATATTTCCGCCTTGCAGATTTATTCTTCTTATTTTTTCCGGGTGTGATAACTAGATTAAAAATGAAAATTTAAAAATCACAACATCCTGGTCGTATTTCACTCAAAGATGTTCAGCTTTTTGAGGTAAACAAAAATTCTGATGTCTGATACATCCACAATCTTTAATACCGGCAGATTATATTGAATCGAGCAGCCTCATGTATCAAAGTTCTCTCACTCCTTAGGTACAGCGCCACAACTATGGTTCTAAGAAACCCCTGCCGCTTCAATGGTGTCAGATAGATTTTCGAGTATAGATTAGTTTAAAGGGACAATTACTCATGAACTTCAAATGTAATGTCCGAAAAATGCCTTCACTTGTACACAAGACTTCCATTCTTTTTCAATCGCGGATTCAAACGAAACGTCTTCATAGCTAGCTAGCAGTAGGTCTGATTGTCGACTGTTCTTAAATTTCATTGAAACACGGAAGCCCGCTTTTTTCTGGATTCAAAGCGGTTATGGTAAATCAAACCTTAAGTTCACTGTGTCAGATGGTTAACATGGTTATATGCTAGTGCTCTAATGCACTTCCAGCTGCTCACCTACCTGGATGATCGAAATTATCCGAGTCAGGATTCGTGAGCCCTGCCTGGACCATCGTAAAAGAGACTGTCAAAGGATAGAAACTTTTGGGTTTGTTTGAATCCTCTGAGTCGAAGATTTTACCACACTCATTCAGCCAGTAACTTTTCCTTAAAATATCGGATTCCCTTCCAATTCAGAGAATTCCTGTACCATTATGTTGTGTTTACACTTTAACGTGCACTACTGGCTTCATAATTATTTATCTGCCCGTGCGTACATGCTTCCACGTTTGGCCTTTTGTCGATTGCGGTTTATGGTATCACTTAATCCGAAGAATCCAGTCAGTTTGTTGATGGAAAACAGAAGGATGTCGGATTAGAAAGTGATTTAATTCTACCAGTACTCTTGTGAAATATAGGAAGGCAAAACGGGATCGAAATGCTAGGTTGTTTAAGGGACTGAACTGCGACGGACGTTTATCCGGCACAGTCTGGCATCAGCACACAGCTTCGGCAAACAAAAATTACACTTTGAGGACTGATTTGGCGACCCTGGTTCAAACGGTTAAATGGGCCACAGGCCACCGAGGCTACAGGACATCGTGATGAGATTCATGCGATCCGCCAATTACTCAATAGTACCCACTTACATTCGAATTTCAAGGCCGATGGTGAATGAAAGAACAGCAAGTTTTTCTCTAAAGCCGTCCGAATGAACAGCGATAGCATTGATCAAACTTGATCGTTGCGATGATCCGACGAGCTACATTAGCTAGAACTTCTTTCCACAAGGTGAAATCATACCTGGAATGCCAAAGGGAAGCAGTCTGTTCAAGAGCAGCGAGATCCGGTAATACAAATAAACATGCCACAAGACGGTCTTGAGGTAGATTTGCGCTGTTATCTGCGATAGAAGTGTGAAGGAAGTGAGGTCTTTTCCTCGGGCAATCAGCATTTTCATACCTGTGGAAGCAGTGGTAGTGTAGTATTCCGAGAAAGGACGTGTTTTAAAAGGTTTACACCAAGGAAACACTTCGATCACCTAACGATTAACCGTGATCCCAGACGCATCACTTAATACGGCTAAAATACTTTTCAAATCAGAGTCTGGTGATGCTCAAAAGGCACCTGCTATGTGTAGCCGTATTAGGATTGAGAAATTAATGCCTTATTCCGTAAAACGAGTATCATTCGCGCACAGAACACAAGCTGCTTGGTAGCATTCAAAATCTTTGTCAATATTTTCCCGCAGGATAACCAGTTCACAACGTTTTTACCTGTACCAGTAGACTTTACAAATCAGAGCGAACCAGACGCTAAGAAGCTTAGGAATCTTAGGAATCATGGTGGCAGATCTGATGGGTTGAATGTGTCTGTAATCAGTTGTGAGATTCATCCACTGTGAGCCCACACTACTTGCGTCTTTGCGCATGCTGGACTACTTGCAGAACTCCTCCCTCCAATTTCACGATAAAACGAGTAGTGATTTTTTTCATATACTGATAATTTCATACCCACTTACCGATGTGGGTGAACTGGGCAATGCGGTTGTGACTGACCTTTAAAACCTAAACAATTCTTAGTATAGTCGTACATGTTGCCATATAGTATAGTATAGTATAGTATGGTACAATGTATAGTATAATGCATAGTCGTCCGATTCTAGGATAAGAATGGCTTATTTTCAAGGCATATAATGTAATCTACCATCCCAATGAATTAAAGACGTTATGTATGTGGTTTATGCGATTGACGATTGACAACAACTGAAGGGCGTGAACAGCTGAAGATATGGAAATGGGTGAGCAATCGTGAGGTAAAAAGTTAGAGTTGGAGTGCGACTTTCATGGTTTCATCTGATACCAATTCGGTGAAGCTGTATCCAAAAAGTTTTCTATTTTCAAAACTGTAGTCAACCAGCCTAAGGCAGATAAAAGGAGATATGTGATATCTGTTTATTTACAGAGCAAGTGCCACATGTTCCGCCTTGGGGTAAGTAAAAATATGGGAACAAGGTGTGGAACATAAAATGTTGAATTTTTTAGATTCCAATTTCTACTTGATAGGTGCACGTACAGTTGTGCCTCCAAATTCCTAAATTTAGTAGACCAAGCTTAGAAACTTAAAAGCCTTTTAGAAGGTCTCCCCGAAGCATTTTTTCATCTTATTCCTCTTCGATTCTACAAAGTGACCATAAATTCACTTCTTGGACCATAATTCCGCAACTACTTCCAAAACCTAAATTGACAATGTTAATGGGGCTGTTTTCTCCAAATCAACAAAGACCCACATACTTAAGTTATGAAATTAATATGTTATGTATTACTGTGTGTATTATGTTGTGTATTATGAATCTTTAGTAGGATTATTGAGGACAATACCTGGAGTGCCCATTCTCCCAAACTGTTCGAACAAACTGATTGTGTGGAATCGACTTTTTTGGGATGAAGACCAAATTTTGTTGTTGCGGGGATAATGCAACGATTACCGCCGAATGATAGCGTATACAGAGTGAGCAGTGTCACCCGCATTAAAATGAACCTTTAACATTTCCTAGTGTAGACCATTCTGCATGAAAAACAAACCATATTACTCGCCTTAGAGGTGAGATACCCACACAAGGTTTTAAGCACGATTTCCCAGTTTTTGAGTTGATGGGACTCTTTGCTGCTCGAGATCAATACGCCATGGCTGCGCATCTCAACTTCCACGTCACATGTGTCCTAGAAATACTCAAAACCTGGTCTTACCATGGCTCAATATTCCGTGATTCACAAGGTGTACGTAGATTAATAACTCTAGACGCCAGCTAGTTCAACCCCAAGAATTGACCGGCAAGTTTGCTAAACGTGAATAGTTCGTCAGTTCACTCGATATCAGCCTGTTCTCGAAACTTGGTGTTCGGTGTCTTAACGATCCGTCAGTTCAATAAGAAAATAACACGTCTGTTGAATACTGCACTTGGCTTTAAGAAGCGACACCGTTTTACTCACATATTCCGTTACTAAAACACTCTGTTAACATCCATCGTCCATCCTAACTGCTTTTCTGGCACATACATAGTCTTGGATCCAAATTGCCGGTAGTACAGGGCTGCAATAATGCGAATGCAAAATGCCTCCCAACTATGCGTGTGAATGTTGTGGACACTGAGCTACTCTGATGGGCGCAAATAAAATAGAACAGGGTGGTTTCCTTCTGGGCGTCAGTCATTTGAAATACACACCCCTGCTTATTAAATGAAATAGAATACAAATTCGATTTCCGGGCTGATGTCTTTTGTGTTGATTGACTTACTGACTGGCTGACTGATTGACTGACTGACTGACTGACTGACTGACTCACTCACTCACTCACTCACTCACTGGTTGACTCCTCCTTTTAGTTTTTATGTTTACCATCTGCTTTTATGTTCGGATACCCATGAGAGGTGCTTTATTGCCCAACTAATGTAATCGACGTTGAAATCCAAAAAGTTAATCTGTGGCTTTGTTGTAAAACCTTTATTTGCTGACCAACAAATTTTTGTTTATTACTAGTAAGCTTAAACTTTGATTCTCTACCTTAATTTTTTTCAGATGACTACGAGTTTGATTCTGGTAAGCCTAGTTATGTTGCTTTGGACACCCGATATTTTTACATCTTCCGGCAGTTTCTGCCTTAGTTGTATTAGCTACTTCACCTACCGGATACTGATAGGAGTAATGTGTATAGCCCCTTGTACACGCTATTTGAATTCTAATTTGGTGAAGACCATCAAATATGTCGAGGAATTCATGCGCACAGCCGTAATGTGATTGGCAAAACATAGTTGTATTCATTCGGCAAGGCGATCGTCGTGGTAGAGGAGCCCGACAACCTCAGTTGTTCCACTGAAATGGCCTGCTACTTTGGAAATTTTTAAATTTTCAGGTTTCATGATTTTTTTAGCACATCGCCGTTTCTGCCTACGATATCACCGAACTTTGTCTTAAAATAAGAGTAATATTGACTACTACTCATACTAATTCGTACAAGCAGACTTTAATGAAAGCGCGCAACAATGCTTCGTGTGGTATGTACGAATTCTGCCCCCGAATGTGCCACGCTGATGCAGAAATTGCATAAATTAATTGGTGGTTAGTAAATCAAAGCTTTCGTGGGATGCGCAACTTCTGTTGCATAACTTGGTTTAGATGGCTGGGTCACCCAAGAATTGTTGCTATCCTCTGAAAGAAATTCACATTCGACTGAATGTCGCCGCTTCAAAGGTTTCGGTGAGCTGGTATTTCCAGGGATGGAAACTATGACGGTCTGCAGTTGAGTAGTGGTGCGTGCAAATAAGATTAAATTTCATTCCAAGCAAATACTACAGGTTTTCTTGCTTTTCTCATAAACATTTTCAAATTGTGAATGCGACAAAATGTGCTGTAAATTAAACTGTGGATCCTGCTAAAACATTAGTTTTTCATTAAATTTCTACCCTCTAGCGTAATGTGTTCTCAGGAGGTGAAGTACTTAAGTGAAAATGCATTGCTCCAGTTTCCAGAGTTCTCACGGTTTAGGCAATAGTTTCCGCATTTTGAGATCTTTATTCTGCTTTAGCAAGCAAGTTTGTTCTCGCGAGAGATAAGTGAACATCCCATTTATGATGTCGAAGAATTTTCAGCAACCTTGCGAGTAGTATATTACATCTATTCACTCTTCTTTCTTTCCAAACTTCAGATCCAACACTTTTTCATCCAGGCACGTTAATAAATCTGCATTTTTCTCGTCGCATTTGTAGTTCAAATTTCCGAGCTTTATGGGTTTATGTGTATTATTAGAATAAGCTTAGTCAAAATTGCTATTCTTCATTAAACACAACCATCAAGGTTGAACGTTTTAGACAGACTGCGCTCAGTCGGTGCTCAGTGGGAAACGCGCTCCCATTTGCAGTGCGTAAAACACATTAATATGGCAGTATTAATGGCATAGTTCTTAAGCACCAGATTTCCGGCATGAACGGGCACGGTCAACTAGCATACGCGCGTGAGAACGGACGCATAAATCCGCAGCTACGACGCGAGCTGTCACTCATAGCATAGGAAGAAGACCGGAATTTTGGTGATGAGACTTTACTGCCTCAGGCATGGGCAATATACAACGGGAGCACCGTCAAATAAATATTCTGAATCAGCTTGGAAAACGACAAATGCGTCAGCGCATTCAAAGTTCAACTAGCCAGTGAGAGAGTTAAGTAGTCTTTTGGGAGTGTTCAAGCTGGTAGAAAATGGCACAAAAATCAAGATCAAAGTTTAAGGGAAAAATAAATTGTCAGTATGTTACCAATTGGTTTTTTGAGGGCACCAATTTCCCCAAAAATCAGCCTCTTTTTTAGAGCAATAAACATCAGTCATTTTTGATAACGAGATTTACGCACAAGTGAATAAAAAAACAATCGTTCGATTCAGTGTTATCCGTGTGGATGTGGGGTCAGTCTCACTGATGATCAACGGCTTTCGGTTGAACGGTTTAATCTTTAACTACTTCGAATAAACAAAGCTCTCAGTGGCTTTAGACACAGAATATCTCCCAAACAGGTTTGTTTACACTAACTCACCAATGAGCAAAGCCGAGGGACCTCACCACCAGAGTGGGTAATACAGCCACACAATGAGGCACAAGCTGTAGACGATTGCAACTAGAGATGAAACAGCTGTAGAGTGTTACTCGGATAAGCATGGATTGATTTCACTGGCAAGATGAAACCTCAAGTATAAATTCCTAAACTCTTTAGAATACCATCAATCTACCATTAATGCACCCAATTCTCACCAAATCTCGATTTCGTAAGTAGTAGAGCCGACCACTGTCAAGTCGAGTGAGATAAATTCACATTCTTGAAGAATTGGTAATGCTATATCCCACTCATGTACAAATCAGAACTGACGTTTACCAGCCACCTGAAGCCTAAACGTAACGATCCACTGCAATCCTCCAGAATGTGGTTTTGAATCCCTAGGTGGAATCTGAGATGTGTGCTGCTGATTATACCTAAAAAGAATGATGTCACCTTTTTATTGAGGAAACCGAAAAAACGTACGCGCTTATTTATCCTATGTGGCTGGGAGTTATCCATCCAAATAAAATCCTTCAACAAAGCTTTGGTCATTTTGCAGATGTTTTGGGGTTTGCTATGACCGATATGTTCTTCAAGAGCTTACGATTCTCGAAAAGCCTGGCGAGATTCCACAACATTCGTCTGGTGCACCCGCAGAGTGGAAGATGGGACAGTTTTTGACGAATAAAAATAACTCCGGAAAAAATCTTACACTGTCATCCAAATAAATCCTTCAACAAAGCTTTGGTCATTTTGCAGATGTTTTGGGGTTTGCTATGACCGATATGTTCTTCAAGAGCTTACGATTCTCGAAAAGCCTGGCGAGATTCCACAACATTCGTCTGGTGCACCCGCAGAGTGGAAGATGGGACAGTTTTTGACGAATAAAAATAACTCCGGAAAAAATCTTACACTGTGTTGCATGATGGGTAACGTCCAAGCCAGAATGATGAATTTCTTCACATATCTATCAATGCTAACTCTACTCTAACAGCTGCATACCTTCCTGATTCAATTTTTTGAGATCTATCAAGCCTGTGGTCTAGACATACTATGAACATGGTCACAGAATCGATCTTTATTCTGTCCATTCCAACACCTACCGAGGACTGAGACTGTGGGACATTAAGTGAACACGAACCCCAACACTTAATGATATTATCTGGAAAGACCATAATTCTTTCCAGACCTCACCTCAATATTAACTCCTTTTACAGAGTGGAAGGAAGTCATAGCGAAAGATTTTGGCAGTGAGTACTAAAGGCCTCTTGCTTTTCTGTCTGTTTATTTTGTGTGAATCGGAAAACTGTGCCCGGACAGTCAGTTCATCCAGGAATGTTTACTCGTACAAATATTACTTTTGATGAGGACCATTTTACTGCACCGAATGTTCTTACTAAAATAAACGGAGAACCCCAACAAGATCACTTTCGTGGGCATCTTTCTCGTAGCAGAACAGATAATGTATATTAGCAATAGGAGGTTTCTCAGTAAGGTTGATGGATAGATATTTTTCACTGCATTCTAACACCTTTATGTTTCACTGGGGCCGTAGCGTTCGTTACGTGTGCGTTAGGCACAAATACAGCTTCGTGGTGGAAATCGGATAAGTTACCAACATCCATTCGCTGAGCACCTATACACTTAAAAGAGGTCCCTGGTCATACTGCCTCTTCCAGCGTACCAACAGTGCATCATTATCGGGAAACAGATTATGCGAACTTCTTGGAGACAGTATGGTCTCTCTTACCTCTTTTGAATCAGGCCTGACAATGAGGAGGTTCAAACTGCAGCCTACTCATTTTTTCTGTATTGACAGTATGTGGTGACCATCCATGCGTTGACCCCAACCACAGTCGCTGCCGTTCGATGCTACTTGATTTGACAATGAGCGCTCCTCAACGGAAAAGCCAGGATAATGATCTTGAATACCCCAATGACTTTTTTCGGACACTTCCGACCGACATATTCAGCCAAGATCTTCCCCGCTCTGTTCAAACCTTAGAGTAAACCTTTCCTGGTTTATCAGTTTTCAGCTGAAAAACGAAGTGGTTCCATCCAACTCAGCAAAAAGTGGTTTACGTCTCCAAGAGGACGTCTGCAATGATCACGGTAACCACAGAGGTATAAAGCTGGCATCCTTTACATATGGAATCTTAGTGTCCCTATCCGCTCGCAATTAGTCGCCTCACGACGACACTAGAGTTGTGAGTAAAGCAGTCGAGAAGAGTTGGGTGGATCACATCTTTGAAATCCTTCGTGTCTTATAACGACTACAAACCTGTAGAAAACTGTACAACCGTGGGCATCGTGTTCTTTTGAAAGTTCGGTAATCAACGCCACCGTACTTTGTCGGGTGCAGTGCAATGGACCTTTCACTCCACCTGCTGACTGAATTTATTAACAGAGAGGCGAGTGGTGCTTCCGTCTGTCAAGGACGCTAAACCAGCCCTGTGAATATAAACGCAAGTACACAAGTTGGAACACGTGTATAGGTAAACACACCATGAACTGCCCAAAACAAGTCTTCTACAATGGCATTTCTGACCAGTGAGTAGAACTGCCGGTCCATCCATTACAAGGCTAAATTTGGACTTGTGCTTGTTGTACTCACACCATTTCCAGTTATTCAACCATCGGAATGCTAACTCACTTCTACGTTGGACAGATGCTGCAGCAGTTAGACGGCTGAAACCACTCTGCGTACGCAGAAGTAAACTGCATCATAATTGACTGTACGTTGATAGGGATGTCTTGAACTGATAACGGACGCATTAACCCAATTCCGTCCCAGTTACCTCCATTTCATTTACACTCCCACCATTGATTCGACTTCGTGTGACCCGCGACTTCCTTTGTTGTTTGCCTCTCACCCCAATTTATTCCACATGTGATGTTGTTGTGCTGTCACCTCAAGTCACGTGCAACGTGATGACAGCTCACGGTAGACTAGTGGTGTAGGAAGTCACAGTAGTTCAAGTAATCTTGCTAGGATTGTTCCGCTTTTTGTTTTGTTTCCTCTCCACCTGTCTGCAAATTATGTACTTAGCCTGCAGTGGTATCTTGATTTTCGCAAGTTTTTTCATCATACAATATACCTCCTTAGCAAACGAATGTAGTCGCTGTCATCACACGTACACTGTAGGACCGAAATGTCGCTTCTTCGTGGGATTCAGGACATCTTCAAGTCACATGGTAGTGATCAGTACCCGTATAACAAGACTACAAGTAATTACACGACAAAAGTACTAATCGTTGATTCAGTCACTCAGAGATCATGATGTTATAAACAGTTCAACCGTTGATATCTACATTATATTGCACATTCGTTATGTTCGGTGACAGTTCTACGCCATGCAGACGCCAGTGTAGATTAGCTTTGGAAGTGTTCTGCTTATTATTTACCCACCCATCAACCTGAAACTTGTGCTTAGTGTTCAGAAAGGTATATTGGTCTCTTAAGTGGAATGGACATCATCTAAGAGATACAGGCAAATTACTTGTAGCTGTTCTTCCTTGCAAATTATTGTGTCGGTGAACAGTTCAGTCGCTCTGTAACCTAACCTTTGACTGTAAACTTTACAAAGTACTTTTGAGTTCATGTCCGGCCAGCTATAGCTGTGAACTCGATGAGTTTTAACTCACTTCTTAACCCAGCTGCCTTCCGCAAAGATGTATCGAAAATTGCAGCGGCAGATCTCAGAACGACATTTTGTTGCTGAGAGAGAGAATAAGGATCAGGTATGTTATCTCGCACAAAACTCATTTTGCAAAACACTGAGACAGAATTTCTCAGGTCCGTTCCTACAGGTGAACAGAGATTAAATATTTCGATTCCGCGGGTGATCGGTTCCGCAAATAAACCTGACCAACTAAGCCGGGTGAGTGAATCTGTTTCAGGTGTTGACCAGTATTCACCCAGTGGTTTTAGTTTACGAACTGTTACTGGAACACAATCAGGAAAAAGTGCGTTGAAGGTGGATTACATTTATCCATAAGTATGCCTTATTGGATGCCAGGGGAATTTTGAATAAAAACCCGTAGGAATAACGTTAAAAAACTCGAGATTCATAACTAATTAATCGATTAATATTTATTCTGCCTAGTATTCCAAAATTCCTCTTCCGGCTCAGTCCTGTTGTTCATATTCGTATCATAGCAACAAGTCTTCGGAGAAGTTAAGACTGTCTATAAACTTCCGCGTCTTTTTGAAATAGAGGTACTGCACCTATACTATTGTTGGTTTATTGGAAACCAATTTATCGAGAATAGTTTAGATGAATATACTGAATATATTGATTCCGAAAATGACCGCCTGAAAATGTCGGTGCAGCATCACGGGTGACAAGATTCCATCCCATAACTAATCATCAATTCAGATGAACATGTTCCGACTGCGTTCCACAAAGTAGAGTGGTTTGACTGTCTGATAGCTTGTCATTACTTTTGCAGAGTGGGTGGAAAATCTACAGGATGAATTCAGCAGTGAGTACCAATTGCCCACTTGTTTAGACTAGAACATTCAGGAATTATTATCTAGAGCTCCGTTCGAACCTTTCTCGGTACATATTCTTTTTTTTTTGAAAAAAACCCTAAAATCATCTCTCGAGGACTGGATTTGTGAACTTTCAATTTGTAGATCTTCTGCTCTGTCCTTCCTCATGTCTCAGCTGTTACAGACTAGAAGGGAGTTACCCAGTCACCAGCGAAGCATTGAAAAGCAGTTGAGACCATGCTAGTACCTACCAACACCGAACGAAACTGGATTGTGCCTAATATTACAGAAATATGACCCCTCATGCCCATCACTGCACAGTAGTTGGAGTGTACATGACAGTATTTTCCAGCTCCCGTCCAATTTTGGCTCAGGTGGAATGTCAGCTTGACTGCTACTCGGGGCTGCGCCTTCCTATTGAGCTCGAAACAGGGCAAAATAGAAGCGCACAATTCTTTAGCTAAGGGAAGCAGGATGATAGAAGGATACACACAAAAGGTACAGCGAGACAGTCCAATGAATTAGACGTGAGAAAGTTTGTTGGTTAGCCAAATCGGTAAGGTCCCAACCCGTGTGCTTGACCGGAAAACATCGTTTGTGATTATGAGGAGGAGGAATGTTTGTAAAACTCTAGTCCTTTTTCTGATTTTATTTAAACTTTTATTATGTTTAAGCTGACGAACCTGGAGGTAAGTGCCGAATCAATTTCACATTCATTAAAACATAAATTTATGGCAGTTTGGTGAGTCGTTCAGTATCCTTAATACGAAGCTTCAACACGAGGCAAGAGAGCCGGGTAAGGGTACACGGTGTAGTCCCCCTTTACTACCAGATTCAAAACCGACTCACTCTTGTGACAAAGCATAAACAGCTTTTGCACACGCGGATGTCTCTACAACATTTAGAAATGCTGGAGTGCAAAGTTTAGTTTTCTGTATACGGGGTGTTTTCGCGTCGTTCATAAAGTACTGAACGTACTGTTCACATTAGCCAGATATATTCATATATTCTGTATTCCATCGAACAGAAGCTAAATGTTTATAAGCTCAAAGCTTGTGGAGGTTACTATTTGCTGTGACCAGCCCCCAGGTTTGAAGTTTACTTACATCCAAAGCAAACGAAAGGATATGTTTTGGGCTCACTGTGGAATTCACGCAAAAACTCTCACCTGACAAAGTTGCGCGGAACCATGCGTGAGGATCAAGTGCCTTAGCGGGTCGGGATATTGTGTCCTCGGTTTTGTTCTCCTTGCGTTGTTGTGCACAAATGTGCTATGTAAAAAGGGCCAAAATTCCTTGGAGTAACCCCTGAACTTTGTTAGAACTGTCATACGAAATAGTGAATTCTCAGGATAAGGTGTTATTTCTTCGGTAGTCACTGCATCGTTGGTTACGAACGATATAACGCTTAACACGTTCCCCTTTTATGTTTTTGAGTTGAAACAACCGAGGATATCTAAAATTTGTTCGTTCCCTTCAATATCCATGCAGCTTATATAAAAGTGAATTGAGACACACTTGCAAGCAGGCACTTACGCGATCTGCCTTTCGGTTGTACAGAATTGCAAGAACGTGAGTGATTATGAGTTTACAAATGGTGTAAATCCATGCAGTCAAACGTGTGTTGTGATATCTTCCCCTACAACTTCCGTACAGCTTAATTGGAACGAAATGTTGCCAGTGGTTCGAAGTTACTTCTTCCCACTAACAGATTCCCTCCTCAAAATAGGTGGATAGGGAAAGCTGTGATGTTTCTATTGTACAACACTAGAACAGTCTACGTCCCGAACTCTCCGCTGAATAAAATTTGTTCATTCAGTTACGTAACCACTATAAGGCGCCTTATGATAGACAACCGTCATCCTCGATGGCTCCACATTGTTGTGACTCTTCAGCTGCACTGCACTGAGTTGAGTTAGCTTATTTCAATTTATGGCGCTTTCATCCTGCAGGAAGACAAATCCGCCCACTAGTACCCCGAATCACTCCTGCCCGGGCAGCGTCATTGACAGTAGTGTACAACCGAAGCAGTATCCAGTTTCTGTTCCACTGTTTAACCCTGTACATCACTGGAAGACCAAATGTTTCGAAGTTTGAACGGTCTTAACTGTAGACAATCAGGTATTCCTCTGTCCTTCAGTGCAACAGCGTCATTTTAAGCACAGCGGCAGTTGCAGGGATATTTAAGACGGTTTGCACTCTAAATTATCAAGGACGTGTCCCTGTGACTGTAGTCTGCGTCACGGCATCAATTTGGAGGGTGCCAAATGTTATTGGTTACCTTGTTTTTCAAAAGAACTCTAGGTATCCAAGATTCAGCTGCATTGCTGGTATGCCATCAGCCTTCAAGACAGACCATGAGAATCCCATGAGTCAATGAAGCAAGTGGTGATTGATTGATGGAAATTTGAGTAGTGTTTCAAAACAAGACTTAACGTGGATATTCGATCAACGCGATATTTTCCTGCATGGACATCCCTCTGATCTGGTCTAACTTCTAGCTTCCCTGAGGTACTGCAGTGGTGTTGTGGCAAAGATTTTGACTGCGACCTCTTTCAGGATGATATGCTGAGATAAATTCAAATGAGTGGCCGTTCCTATGTTTCGCTCATGGTGAAGTTCAATGAGTTAGCCATGTAGTAACCTTGGTCAACTGTCAAAATGTACTACTGGGTCCTGAAAGCAATATTAGCAGCAATTGGCCCCAGATTAAACCATTTGTGGCTGAAGGTGAAATAGTATTCACAGTTTGCTGTCGAACTAACTGTAAAACTTTGTGAAGCAATCGCTGGAATTTTAACAAAAACTCAGTCCGAATTAAACTGTACGTAACCATTTGATTGTATTATTCAAGGTCGTTGTATTGTTAGCTAGGCAATTTGATTGCAAACATATCATCGGCTTTCGAGGTGACATCATTGGTGCGTCGTTAGAGAGTGCGGCGATAGGTCAATGATTGCGCGTCTCTGTTAATGTACGTTCTACCGGCAGGGGCTGACTTTTGATCACAATTGGTTGTTTGGTTGGGTGGCTCCATTGGTTGGTCTGTTATCCTGTGTAGTGACTGTTCTTTCATCAGGTGACCTTTGAACTTGGCCTCCTCTGCTCTTGTTCCCTGGTGGGGTGACCTCTGTTCTTGTCCTCACTTGGCTCCACTTCGTGACCTTTGTTTGACCGAAGGAAGCGTCTTGTTTATTGGTTGTTGACCAGGTGGCTGTTGATCTGTTCGCCGAGCTTGGCAATTGGCTTGCAAACGTTTCGTCACCATACGAGGAGACATCATCAGTGCGCAGTTGAGTGGGTACTTCTTCCTTGCCTGCGTGCGCTTATATAGCATTCGAGGGCTATCTGTCATCTTCTGACGTGATTGGCTACTTAAAGTGTAACAAATTTAGTGAATCTATTGGTCCATTTTTGATCTTTGTTGCGTTGTGGTCTGCGTTCCTTTGTGTCGATTGGTTATCCTCACACCTTCTATTTTTAGTAGTTCGTTCTCTCCGGCCTCGGGTTGTATTGCGTTGTGGTCTGACGTTCTTGAGTTTGATTGGTTGCTTGTGCCGCCCTATTTCCTCCACCGCAGCGGTCAGCGTCCCTTCGTCCGTCGGTTGATTTGGTGCTTTGATTGGGCGCTTCCTCCAATCCAATTGATGTGTCCGTTTGAATGATGTTTTCCTCCTTCTCTTATGATTTCCTCGTCTGGTTGATTTTGCAGCTTTAAGTTCGGTGGTTCTGGAGTTCTCTCGCTCTTAGTGGCTGGTAAATGGGATCAATTTCAATGTGTTTGTTGATCGCCTCTTCGGTGGAGTACCATGCTTCCATAAATTCGCGTTCGTTTTTTGTTCTTGCTTGAGCCAATATGCAGACGCCGCTCCAGTCGAACTCGTGTCCTTCCTGATCTTTGTGTGCAGAGATGAGGGAGAACTGATCGTGCCTCTTGGTGGCGAGCTTGTGTTCATGTATTCTGGCTGAGAGCTTCCTTCCTGTTTGTCCTACATACCGTTTGTCGCAGTCCTTGCATTGGATCCTGTATATGACATTGTTCTTCGCCATTGGATCTAATTTCCCTTTTGGTCTTGATAGTGTCCTCCTTAGAGTGCTCGCAGGCTTGTAAGCGACCAATATATTGTGCTGTCGTAAGAGCCTTGCCGTCATTTCAGCGGTGTTCTTGATGTACGGGAGTGTGATTCGCTTACTTGCATTTTGTCCTGTTGCATCGATCGTATTTGGCTTCCTGAGTGTTCTCCAGATGAAATTCCTCGGGTATCCATTTTTCTGAAACAATCTGTATAGGCGCTTTTCTTCTTTGATCTTGGATTCTGTTGTGCTGCAGTGTGTCTCGATCCGCTTGAAAAGTGTCCGAACGCAGCTTTGTTTGTGGCAATTTGGATGGTTGCTGTGGTAGCTGAGGATTTGGTCCGTATGTGTCGCCTTTCTGTAGACTTCAGTTTGTAGCTGTCCGTTCGGCAATCTGGTGACAAGGACGTCCAGGAACGCCAGTTTTCCGTTGTTTTCTTCTTCAGTTGTGAAGTTGATGTCGTCAAAGACGTTGTTTAGCAGTTGGATTACTCGTTGCAGTTCGCTTCTTTTGATGATCACGAATGTATCGTCCACGTAACGAACCCATATTTTGGGATTTATATCGGGCAACACGATTTGTTCCAATTTCTGCATTGTGACTTCTGCAATGAATCCTGAAATCGGCGATCCCATTGGTGTCCCTCGTAGTTGTTCATAATATTCTCCGTTGAACTCAAAATGTGTGATCAGGCATAAGTCGAGTAATCTGCAGAGGTCTTCCTTCTCCAGCGATCCAGTTGGCGTGTCGTTGTTGTCCAATAATTCGGCCACAGTTGTCTTGGCTGAATCGAGATCTACAGACGTGAATAGTGAGCTGACATCAAATGAAACCATTATTTCGTCCTGATCGATGCTTACGTGTTTTAGTTTCTCCAAAAATTGTCCCGCATTGTTGATTGAGTATTGCGACCCACCGATGAGATGCTTTAACCTTTTCCATAGTTCTTTCGAAAGATTGTAGGTCGCTGTTCCAGGAAGTGATACAATTGGCCGGAGAGGTATTGATTCTTTGTGTACCTTTGGGAGTCCGTAGAAGCGAGGAATGGCCGAATCACGAGCTCTCATTCTCCAATATTCCTCTTTTGTAATCTTGTGGAGATCTTGGAGTTGCTTCAAGTTCTTATTGATTTTGCTTGCTAGCTGCTTGCTTTGGTCGCGTTCTAAGCGGCGGTACGTAGTTGTGTCGTTGAGTAGTGCCTTTGCTTTATTGATGTAGTCCGGTTTGTCCATGATCACCGTTAGGCGTCCCTTGTCTGCCGGTAGAATCACGATGTTTTCATCCCTCTTCAACTTGTTCATTGCTTCTTTTTCTTTGCCGGAAAGCACGTTGAGTGGTTTGTTGCGTGCGATGGCTGGGACGACAGTTTGACGAAGTTGCTGCTGAGCGTTTTCGTCGTTTGGTTTGATAATCCGGCCCTCTCCTAGTGATCTGATTGAGAAGTTGGTCCTTCGCACGCAGTGGTGTTCAAATTGGATCTAATTCAGTGCGTCAGTTGGAACGGTCAACCCCGATCTGGACGGATAGAGGTGGAACTATGCAATTGGCTACATTTAGCCTTCATTCCTTCTTGTACTTTAGAGTACGCATAGAAGCCATCACCAAAAAAGAATTAGTCAGCGAAACTTTAACTTTTAACAAAGCTTGTTTGGATGAAAGATCTCGCGCTTGTAAAATCCAACTACTTTAGGTCAGCGTTACTTCTTCGGATGCTGTCTCCTATACAATGTTGTTGGCATTCTCAGGTTTGAAACAATTCACGAATTCACCTTAAATCTCACGTGAAAAGCTATCGACTGCGAGCCAACCAAAATCTGGTCCGTGAACGGAATATCAGTAGTTGAAGAATATGTGGTCTTATATTCCCCAGATAAAGCACTACTGTGAGGTCACCGAAGAGTCGTGGACAGCCCACGTCCACTTCGGACTTCTTCAGGCTCATTAGGTAGGCGGCGTATTCATTGAAAGAGCCTCATGAGCGAGAGATCTAGTTGGGATTCATCTCAGTCTCCCGTTTAAACCAAGTTAGTTTTCAAAGCAGTGTAGTTCGCGGATTGTGTACAATTCGGTGTTTTGGTAACCTGAGAGCTATGCCTACCTAACGAGCTCAAGAGCTCGAAATCGGCCGTGGATTGCCGGAGAATCTTCAACAGCCTTATCAGCGGTGTGCTTCGTTTAGATAGAATACATTGATGTATCAAACCTGGTATTAATTGAAAGGTTAGGTGGATCTTTGCTTAGCAGGATATGGAGTTGAAGATTATCATAAAGGAGATTTTTGGCGCGCTTCAGTTGACCTTGCGGTCTCAACAAAATTGTTTTGCAAATGAACTTATATTTAATTGTTTAGTAAAAAAATTTAATCACTATTGTGGCAAGCACCCTAAGAGAAAAAGTCCTCGTATACTCTCCGGAAGGCTGCGGGTTTTAGTCCTCCTCGAGGTTGACGCGCACTAGCAGCCACTACTGTGAACTGGATTTTGCTCTCCAAATCGGTTTTCCCTTGATGATCAGACCCACATGTGTGGCAAGCAAAAATTTCGGGAGTCATGCAAATTTTCTTCGGTGCTTGTAATAGAATTGACTTGAATTTTTTGAAAGAAATTTTTGTGCCCTAATGCAATAGGTATCACCTGAGAATCTAACCATGTTGGGTAGGCTTGTGGTTCAGAGTCATACGTTTTCCTGGTCTAGCATCTTTGTTGTTTGGCGATTTGAGAAGCTGTACAACGGACAATTCTGTGGGTTCCTAATAACAAGTATTTCTGTGAAAAATTATTTTTCAAGCCAAAATACCTGAGGAAGAACCATCGAGTATGTTTTCTCTTTCGCACGACTTTTTGCTTTTGCACCATATTGCGGACGGCCGAAATGTCTTGTGAAAGGTCTCGAAATCATTTTTCGTCTTTCCCACTTCGTTTGACGGACGTATTATTTACCAGAGCATGGCCGTGTTAGCTTGTTCCATCCTCCCGTGGTTAGTTTTAGGCACACTGTCAGTGGTCGACTTTCTTGTCACCCGGTTTAAATTATTAGTCTGTAATGGTGCGACTCTTTCACTATGCTTCCCGTCTGCCCATAAGGGGTGATCCATTGTCTACTGAACGTCAACGAATATGGTTGTTTTTTGTTATCCGGCGTAACCCTACATTCCATACAATACATAAAATACTGTTTACTGTGTAACGCATGAAAGCGTGACCGTACAACACAGGTCTAACTAGCTACATGTGCAGAGGTAATACTATGGTTGATTTTGGTATGGCTAGGGATTAGCATCCGTACGACAACGAATCCACACACCGAAGTAACTATAGCTTTTCTGACTTGTTCTGAAACGCCTATGGCGTGTCCCGATGTTTCCCGGTTAAGTTGAGGGAGTGTTGTCCAAAAATGTTTTGACCTGTTTAAACTTGCGTCTTCCCTGGTCGTTCGTCCCACACATTTCTTCGCCAATCACCTCCCCACGTATCGCGAATGGTTTGGTAGAAGCTGTCTCGTACACTAAATTACCCTACAGTGTCCATTGCTCAGCGGTATCTACACATTATCTATCCCTGTAGTGACTGCTCATCATTGATGGGCACATATTCTTCCCCGTGATTTCTAACATCCTTCATGAAAATAGACTCAAAGTGACGTCATCAGCTTTGTTCTTTAACTAGTGTATATCGTGGTACCAATGAATTTCAAGTTTTGCGCCACTTTTAATATAACTTCATTGCATAGGAACTGGAAAACAAGTGTATACAATCCCCGCCCAATGAAACCAGTTTACTGATATTAGGTAAGGGCCTTTAAGATGTTAGATACCTGCGTACAAACGAACTTAATATGACTGACTCAGTGGATTTCCTGTACAAATCCGCCAAGTGCTAACTCCTGTCACTTCATGCATAATACCGGGGAATTAAACCTGGATATTCAGTGGCTCCTCTGAGAAAGCTCTTATGTGGTGAGTCGGCACGGTGAAAGACTAGGCGATGCAATCAGTCGTTCACTTTCACTTTCTCTCAACAGTAAATTTCGGCTTCACTGCTGTTGTGTCCCACTGCGCTCATCCAAGCCGATATTTCGGTCAGAATTATGATGTCTAAAACTGCACAGTTGGAAGTTCTGGATGACGACTCGAAAGCGCGAAAACAAGTTAACCATTGTATCTGTATCGACGATCATAAAAATTCAGATATTGTTTGATATTCTGTGCTGGTGCTAAGTGGTGTGGGAAAACTCAGAGACAGTAAACCAGTCGTAGGGTGTATGGGAATCTTCTACCCACGGTAATAACAGAAGACGGCTTAAATGGTGCTGTTTCCTAGGCTTTTTGTCTGTTACAACCGATTTGGGTGGCATATCGCAGTTTACAGTAAAGAGAATCGTATCATAGTACTGTACCAGCACTTTCAGCTTCTTTTAAATATCTGAGACGAAAATCGATTCGCCCGTTTGTAATAGGGATAATCGGCACTGGCCAACTCACACTTCCAACACATGTCCCAAATATGAATCATTGTGCAGATAAATTGTCTACTAGCGTACCGTATACCTGCGGTGGTCCACGAGGACAGCCCCTCTGAATAACCATCCATATCGACGCCGTGCGTAACGTGGACGCCCCATCAACATGTGCGAGCAAGCACCAGAAATTCTATTGCGCTAGCTGATAAAAAGAGGGTCACATTACATCCCTAGTGTGGCGATTTCTCTTCGAATGATATATCCTGAGGGTATGTGAAAAAATTTGCTCTTTGTCCTCTTCTATTTTTCAGTCTTTATCTGTCCTTTTTCCCATTTATTCAGCTGAATATCCGGAAGATAACGAACTCGGTAAGTAGCAGTCCACTCTGCATACCTAAGTGGACAGATCACACAATTAACGTATGATCTCTGCGGTCCTCTGATCGTGTCAGGCGAGCCTTGTGGCTTTAATCTTCGGGCAGGACATCTGAATACAAGCATATTTGACGATAGGAGACATGTGTGTGGTCTGCATTTTCAGAGTAAATCGAAACCACGTGCCATTTCTTACCGCATGTATGTTGGCAGTTGGTTTTTTTCCGACGATAGGGTCATTAGGTTACGAAACAGGCTTGAAAAATAACTTATCTTTGACCTAATAAAAGTATTTTTCCAACTGATGAAAAAGGGTTAAGGCCATACGTCTCATATTTAGAAGCTTCGTATTGAAGGTACAGTCTGTGGAAGCCCTTTACATGCTAGTTGAGGCACGCCGCTTGACCATGAGGACAGTTCTTGCATGTATAAAAACTGATCAGTGATCTAAAGTGAATAATTTCAAGACATTCTGAGAAACACGATGTTTAAATCATATAAAGTTCGAAGAAATTCTTAGACATAGTGTCCCCTATCAGTTATGAAGTGTTCGTCCATCGTCTCACCGGGAAAAAAAAGAATCAGCTGGAGTGCAAACTGTGTTGGGCAGACAAGTAGCAAGGTTAGTGTTGTCACTTAAATCAATTCACAATATTTCTATGCCCTATCCAGAGAGTACGCGAGTTTGAAATAGTGGGCTAAATAGCAAGGAAAGGGCAGGAAAAATGGCGGTGGGGGAACTGCTGTTACTCAATGTAGGTTTCCAACAACTGCCAATGTCGCAGATTCAATAGGTCCTCTGCATCAAAATGTTTTAAGCAAACTGAGATAGCTGATTTCAATACTAATGGGCTTCTGATCACTCAGCAACGAACAAATTCCTCTTTCTTCAGCTTACAGATGAACAAGTGATGTTCGGGTGAGTTACACGTATAGACGCTTTCTTCCCGAATCTACTTCCGTTCTGAAAACTACTAGCAGGAAGGCCTCGGGTTGGAATCTCTACTGAGTTTCGAGATACAAACTGCTGATGGTTCTCAATAAAGATGAAACAAATACGTTTCTCGGCTTTTCAGCACACATCGGTCTCATTTACAGGAAGAAATCTCAAGTGAAAAGCAACAGATGTCACACCATCAGCCTACAACTAGCTCGGAGAATGAATAATTCCACAAGGAGTATGAGGCTTTTATCTGAGAAATCGCACTTGAGGATTAAGTCCGCACATTATCACATGGTCTCTGTTACCCAAAGACGAATGGTGCTACATCCCGTCTGAGAGCCAATTACACCGCTGCTGTTCAGCCACTCGTGGCCGAACGATCAAGTCTTCAACTACAGCTTTTCACCATAGATAGGTTTCACTCACAGGACGAAATGTCAATTGGAAAACACTAAACCAGTTACGAGTGAGGACTTCCTATATTACTAATTTCATGACTTGGTATCAAAATCTTGTCGCTGTGCGGCTACTCTGGTTAGTCCGGATTTCATCAGCAGAGTGGATTCTTCGACGTGCTGAGATTCAATCAGATGGCTCGTGACATGCGAGGCCTGCTGGCTAGATTTCTCGGCCTATGCCCGCCCGGTTTCCTCACTTCATCACATCTAAGCAAATCTGTGTTTGAACAATATGCGCCGTTTGTTAGACGCCTGGAAAGATGACCCATTAACTGTTCTGGTTCTGTCTACCGGCTGATATGATTGTCGGGACAGCATGGTCAAATGGTGCCACTGAATTTCGCAGATTGCCGAACAATTTTCCTGTTACTTGTGAGCAGTTGTGAGATCTAAACACCCTTGGCTCCGTCACGATTGTCTCCAACCGGTCACGTGTGGAGAAACAAAGGGCTTCTGGAATTTCGTCCATGTTTTCAGAATGACGATTGATTTATAGGCTGACAATGAGGTCAAATACTGGTGTATATTCTCCCTGCTCTGGTAATTTTCACACCAATCCTGTAGGCTATTATAGTGTGCTTGAGCTCTGTCTACTGAACTAACCTGAATGCAATTTAATCTGAGCAAATGCGTCCACAAATCCATTGTAAGCCTATCAGATGAGGGAACACTCCGCAAATCATAGTGCTTTCTATCCGAAGTTCTCGTTGAAAGCATATTTAGCACCCAATGATTCGATATGAACTCCGTAACTGAGATATTCATGGTGCGAGTTATTCGCATGGCTGATCAGTCAACAATACCTGAATGGCAGGGCAGTCAAATTCTTATCCGGGAGATTGCACAGAACCCCCTAGAGATTCTTGAAACTGCACTATTGCGGATTAGGAACTTTTTCTCGACATATCATCATAGCCTGACTTCATTTGGAAAGTGAAGTCCGCATATAGGACCTCAAAATCCATCCACACCGTCTGAGAATAAACTCCTTTTATATGATGATATCCGACCGTCTCAGTCGACAATTGCGTTGACTGGTAATCGCAAGCCAGTCAGTAGACAGTAATTAGGAACTTTTGCTCAAACTCCGGAAATATCACGTGACTTTTAAGTCTTAACGGTGCCATCAGGTGGACGGAATAGATAGGCCATCTGACCTTTTGGTCAGCTGCCTTAGGCATTTGACCAGTGATCGACCTCTGATTACAAGTGAATAACCTTGAGTCTTCTTTGTGAAACCTCTTGATGCTCGTTTACAATAACAGTCATCCTGTTTACACCATATTCATTCACACGATGTCTGTCTTGCTTGCTTTATCCACACAGTAAACTGGGCGAAACAAACCATATCACCTTCCAACTGTTTATACTCAACACTATCCCTTGGCCCCTTCTCAGAAATTTTTATGCTGATGGTTGGTCAGTCTCGAACAAACTTTCCACACAGCGACAGAAATAGCGCTATGCAATTAAAACGTAATTTTGAATGCCTTCTGCCTTATAGTTTTGTGAAGGATGAACGTGTCACAACATTGTGCGTTCTGAAGAAAAAACGTTCATTTAGCGTGATTTCAGGTCGGTGAAGCCTGACATGCAAGTTAGTGATGAAACTGGATCTGCTTACAGAACCACAGATGACTGACTGATTTCCAAACATTGTTCTGCATCCAACCCGGGTTTTAAGATAGGCGTCGGTACTCAAGGGGAAAAGCTGTTCTTCCTCAAGGGCTGATGAAATGTCATTGAAGCGATACATCCTCCTGTTCCCAATAACCAACCCAAACCACTTATCACGTACTGGAAGAACAGCCAGTGTACGGAAGAGGATCACATGAGTACATTCAGGTGAGACATTCGGTTGGGGTTCAGTTGTCCCTCGTTAAAATCAATTTAATATGCCAGCCTCAGTGTTTACGGGAATCCACTGCTAAAACAAAATTTAAAAATTGTTCAGCTGTAACACCCTTTCGGTACCTGGCTGCCATGCTACCTGAAGGAAGCACGAGGGCTGGGATACAGCCTAAACGTAGACAGGGGAAGTACAGAGGCACAATTCAGATTCGAACCACGGACCTTCCGGTCAGTAAATCCGCGCTATAACCACTTAAGCTATCTCGCCCCCTCGAGCCATCCACTGTTATTGTAAGACAAAAAGTTTGGAGCGGTCGGTGATGACCGTAAAAATATCAGCGTTTAGTGTGAAGGCTGTTTCAGTGTTTACGTGCAGCGTCCGAATTTTCGAGGTAAACAATCAAAGCCTTCTCGTTAAGAATTACACCCAGCTTGCTTCAAGGCTGACTAGTTGAGCGTAGCTTACCACCTTGAGTTTCTCACGTTGGTAAAATTGCAATCTGTTGCGAACTACTTAATAAAAAAGTGGTCTCAAACAATGTCAGCCGTTTGCAGGCATACAGCAAAGCACAATCTTTAACACAGTTTGGATTAACTATATCCAGTAAATCTTGATGTAAAGTTTGTTTAAAGCGAAATTCTAGCCATGCCAAAATAAAGCAAAACGCCGATACACACTACCACTAGAGACCAAGAGGTCATGTACGACATATGGACTACTGATGGTATTCGCCACTGTAGTGGAAACCACAACTGTTACGGAGTAGCACTAACTCCAAGTACCCTTTACCAAAGTGAGATACATTGTACCAAAGCCATTTCACACCCAGTTGCTTACCTATGAAAAGACGCTCATGAGTTTGTAAAGTCTAGTATAATCAAAAAACAAATAGGTGTACAAAGAGCGATCATAGAAAATAAGCTACGATGTAAAATGACATAAAATGTCAACTCGCTGTGATTACCGGGATAAGTCTGATAAAGGATAAATACTAGCCCCTTCGTCTATGAAAGATCGTTGCTTTCCGCATCCGTAGTGATCGGAACCCCGCACATCACTTCTGACTGTCGGGCACGGTAGTCCACCAAAAGCTTTGGTAGGGGAGCTTCGCAATCAAACACCTGGAATTTAGAAGAAATATTGAGGCAACAAGAACTTGTCTGCCAAGAGGGGGAAAGGTAACAACCCTTACCGATTAATACACTGTTCAAATTTCAGCCTATGCATATGAGTGCGACTCGAAACCCGGGAAAACAATAACATCAAGAAAACTTCGCTGGAGGACTATCTATGTTATTAGAGTAACAGAAACGTGGGTAATGGGGTTACATCATCCACAGTGTAAAATCAGTGTTCAAAACTGATGCTTCATTACCAGGGAATGGGAAGTGCAAACACATTCAAAACAATAGAGATCAAGAGACCAACGGTTTTTCTAATTCTAATACGATTCCTCTGTTTGGTCACAGCAAGGTGATGCGAATGATGCGATCGACAGAGATTGCACAACTGGTTGATGGGTTAGTATTCACACACCACAAGAGCTGGTCCTTTTGAAGCGGTTACACTCGATATATGTAAGCAACAGAACATTAAAACGATCTACACGAGGGCCATAGTACAAAAATATTGAAGCACCGCTTGTAGCCAGCCCGCGGGATGCTCGTATGCTGTTCAAACTGTTCAGAAACCCGTGCGCTGATGAGGTCTTGTCCCACAAGGTGGACTCGGCACATTATTGATACAGTACTCCTCTAAGTCGTTAACACAGGAAGCTCCAAAGTGTCTATCTTGGAAGCGATGGCGAGTTATATGAAACTGTACATTTTTGGAAAAAAATTAAGTCTATCAACATGAAAGAAACAATATCTACGATGTTTCACTCATGGCCTCGCAAATGTGTGTGAATATAGCCTCCAACGCTCCCTCAGACCAGCAAAAGCCAGTCAGTGTATTCGGCTAGGAGATGAAATCAACAGAGATAGGAAGTGATTTCAACAAGGGTCAATTTTAGCATTGCGGCTGAATTGTCATAGTCAACCACGAGATGCCAAATTCACGTGGCAATGATTAGGAGGTCTAATACGGAAAAAGAAAGCACTAACGTAGTACTGTGGTTGTTGTTGATGCAACTTACCAGGATGGGGGCAGGTAGAGGTCCAAAACGGCCTTCAATCAGCCATGCCTCATGACGCTCATGTAGAGACTGTAGATAAGCCTACAACGGAATACAGGAAAACGAATGCAAAGCTCACAAGTAACGATGAAATGAGAACTCGTGCTGACTAGGCACACAGAGCAATTCAATAAGCTTGCTCTAATGGCGCATCCACCTGCCAAGCACAAAAACCAGGACAACAACACAAAACGTTAATAGGACAAATGGATAGTACCGGCACTACATCTCTAAATCCATGTTGTCGGACTGAAGTTAATGTGTTGTAAGATACGGGAAAAACTCCGGTGGCCTGATAAGGACATTATGAGCTAGCTCAGGAAGTTCTCCTAACGTCGCCCGTAGTATAATCAAGGAAAACCCCGCAACACCTCTGTTCTTATTAAGTGATCGCCGCAAGACTTGGCGAATTAATGTGTCAACAAACGCGGTAGAGGGGAGCATAAGGATACATTGACTTGATGGGCACAAAAAAAGACGGTAATGGCTGAGTGGCTAATACCGGTTGCTGCTTCAATTAAGGTATCTCGTTATCGACTATTAATTGAGATACGCCCGAGACACAAGTCTCAATCAGTTGTGGTCACCAGTTCAAACCTATTATTTGAGACTGGCGAAAACTAACAGATTATACTTGTTTGATCTTGGTCAGGAATAAACTCTTGCGATGAATGAAGCATTCTGACGGTGACCAATGAAATATGCAGAGGTAAGAAGGTATCATGGAAACAGACTATACAAAATGACGATACAACCAGTGAACATACCAGCCTATTTACCCAACTCTTCACGTCCAAAAAATAGACTAAGACCCAAGGGGCTGAGTACACAGGGTACCCTTCGAAAACGTTAGATCGCGAGACCCTTGGCCCTGCAAACATTATCCTGAATCACAAAACATGTGTCACTTGATGACAGTAAGGTCGAAACGTTTCGCTATTCGAAAAAACAATGTACCAGGGTCGCTCAGCACTGTTTAGTATGGGTGGTTCGAAACGATGTCTGGCCAATTACTCTACCTAACCTCCGCTCCATTGGACCGGTGTAACCTTGTCGTAACGTGTGCTCTCGAAGTGCGCTCTACCGACTACGCTGAGATGAGTCCTTCATACGCTGGAATCGATTAGATAAACCGTTTTACTGAAAAGGTTCCCGTCGTCTAGCTGGATACATCTTTTAAAGTGGGTTAGTGAGGTTTGTTGTCCGGTGCGACTGGATGGAGCGGTCAGGTACAGAAGAAACGTGTCAAATGCACTTTGCCGTGTCACAGTCCTTGACTAGGAAGATTGGTGCTGTCAAGTCGTTAATTCTAATGTGCAAAGTTTCAACACCGAGCTCAAACTTCTAATCGTATCGGTAGAATATGCGTGCATTTGTTCCTCAGTGTTTTCCATACATAACTAGACCGGCATGAAAAGACCGTACGCTGAACGACCGTAGACAATGGCTGGTGTGAAAAGGTCAAAGTAGTTGGCTAGTGAATAAATCAACTAAGAGACAGAAGCACAAACCGTCTCAGATATCGTTCGAACAGATGACGTGCCTTCATGTGCATATTAGTGGTTAAGTGATCCATTTGCATTTTTGGTGAACAGTGTTGACGACTTGGAAGGATAAATGAAAGACAAGACGGTAAAAATCGATTGAGGCGGGCATGCGCTCCTTTTCTTTGCCCATTAGGTTTTGACTATCGGAACGGGATATTTCTTGAGCACATTGCAATCACTGTACGACAGGATGAAGGATGAGGATGTGGAAGCAAGTCAAAGAAAGAAGTTCTCGATGAATAACTTACCAGTGGGATGCTATCTTCTCCAGCTCGATGACGGCGACGAACGCGATCCAAACACGTCGTCGGGCTGGCACGCAAATAGACTAGGGGTAAATCAAACAAAAAGCCGGTAGTTTTTTTACATTATTTAGTCTTCATTGGACTTCGTGGTTCGACAACGGCAAAGGGAAGCATCCCCTTCGCGAATTTACAAGTAAATGATGACGTAATAATTGCGCGAAAACCGCACTGACGGGTGTCTAACTAGCTGTTCGCAAAGGCTGTCTTGTCAGTAGTCTCATTTAACGTCGTAAGGGGGCGAGATGGCCCAGTGAGTAGAGCGCGAATTTACCGATCAGAAGGTCAGCGGTTCGAATCCGACCTCTGCCTCTCGACTTCCCCTGTATATATTTGGGTAACCTGGCAGTATCCCAGCTCTCGTGCTTCCTTCTGGTGGCATGGCAGTTAGGTACCGAAAGGGTGCAACAGCTGAACGATTAACGTCGTAGGCAAACATATGGACGAAGAGCAACTCACAAGTTACGTTCTTGTTCGTCGCAGGTTTCTTAAAAAAAGAAGGCGCCATATGGTTGAGTTCATCGAAATTTAAGAGGCCAATAAACTAAGAACTGCAAAAATGCACTGTGTTAAGGGCGCAAAGTCGCTTGAAAGACTAAATTGATGCAAGAGTGAGCATGATCATAGGCTTTAGCCGTGACCGAAGGATAGGGTTCTCTACGGAGCAACACCTGTGAAGAGTATTACATAAAGTCTCATTTCTGAGTTCGATATAACAACCCTAAAAAAAGGTAACGTCAGTATGGAAAGATTTGAGTTGCCATCAAGGAAGCATAGAAACAAAAATAACGAACGTAACAGACGGTCATATGCTGGATGTGTGTGCAGAGGATTGATCTTACTATACTTGTCAGAAGAGCTTTGGGAGTCAACAGGAGTGTAGCTCTGATTAGACATCACAATTGTAAACGGCCTGGAGTCATGCAAATGACCTGGTATCCGGTGGATCATACCACGGTGCATGAGAACGGAATGAAAAATAAACTTTGTCATACGGCCTTAAACATCGCTTTACAATTCGTACTTCGATATTTTGGTTGGTTTTTCTCTTGAGGAAAAGTCCGACTCATTTTTCTCGTCCTGCTAGTGTCCACCGAGAGCTCTGTGTTTCACAAACCCCAATTCCAACGAGACTGACTTTCTGTAATGTACTGATCACTAGGCGTCCGAACGGAAGCTCGCAAGAAAGCATGCGGAAGCCACAACCGTGACGACCTACATCGCACAAATAAAACATTAATTCTTACATTTGCCGTTTGAAGGTGTCCGGATAGACTCTAACGTTGATCAAGAGAAACGGAGACTAGATGGAACTTACCTACTGACCCAATTACGATTAGACTCCATCACTACAGGGACCGTGCTCTGATCGGATTGTAAAAGCCGCTTCAGCCACCCTGTTCTCCGAACCATCCAGTTCACTTATAACAACAATGATCATTTAGACGACATAACCGAATGTCACTCGCAGGATAGCTTAATACCCATCTGGGGTGGGTGTAGCTGTAACACCCTTCCGGTGCCTAGCTGCCATGCACGACGGCTGGGATATTGTCAGGTTGCCCAAGCCTAGACAGGGGAAGCCGAGAGGCAGGTCGGGTTCGAACCACAAACCATACGACCAGTAAATTCGCGCTCTAACCACTTTAGCCATCTCGCCCCCACCCACCTAGGAGATTGATGAGTGACGCAGCAGCAGTTACACACCACACGGCAGGCCACACACTTCGGTGACATTCAATGCAGGCCACATCATGGATACGGACAATTTGTGACCACGTCATACAATGCAATGCGTACTCTGAACTCGATTTCCTGAGTTTGTCGATGTCATTTTGATTAAGACGAACCAAAATACACAGAACTAGTTCCGAGTAATACTCTTGCGTGATAGTGTATCGTTGGTTTCCAATTTTGTTGCTGTACACCCTTAACATTATCACATGTATCACGTCTGCAACTGACGAAATCAACAGTGCGACTGACAACCTACTAAACTGAATGAGGACGATGCAACCCTTCAAAATCATAAAGGCGGAAGTGTGGGCTTATACAAGGTCATTTGCCGAATCCTGTCGAAACATGAACCATCCCAAAACAATCGAATTCATTTCTGCTTAACCGGAACGAGGAGGAAACACGACAGGTTGACATTTGCTTTTTTCATAGGCCACCTGCGCAAAACAGATTCACAGGCTGTGAATGAAAACATAATACGAAAACGAATAAGAAAATATATAACACACTCAAAGTATAACATTGTGAACTCACTGCCAATATACACAGTTCTGAGGCGAAAGCGTTGCCGCAAATAACACTACTAATCTTTATCGACTCTACATTCACTCAGTTTTGTTACTTAATCGAACACTACGAATCTCGAGTTAACCAAGTTTGTGTACACAAAGGCTACTGTCTCACAATATACAATCACCCAGGAAGTGACCTCGGAATGATCACTCTTACAAAAAGTTTTCTCATCTCAACTCATTATTGTTACCATGCTCCAAGACAATGAAGGAATAAATGTGTTGTAAGCGGACAACTAACGGGACAAGTTATGACATCTCGTTACCCGGGGTTTCTCACCGTTCCGATTAAATAAACCGATGATGTGCGAATATTTGGATGATTCCAGTGTATGGCTTAATATATGAGCTATTGGAAAACCGAGTAACTCGAACCGTCCATATCGCACTTTTTACTGTGACTAGACACAACACTTTCTCCGTGGTCCTGCATGATATGTACTGCTGAGTTGACTCTATGCTGCATGTCCATTCCACTCAATCAAGAGAGGGTTCTTCATTTTCGTACGTTCCACATACGGGGAAAACTTTGATTAAAAACGCCTAGAGCTGAAATTCAAGTCAAGTAACCTGGTTAAAATACGAGGTGCTTGCTATCTGGTTGTGTATAGTTCCTACAATTTTCGCTTCACTGTGCTGTAGTGTTGTGGTAAAGTCCTGGTTTTCCCTGCATTCAACTTGAAGAGACACTTGAAATTTACTATCAAACATCGCATACGTTGCGCATTCCCATATCCCTGTCGGTATATTTTATCTTTCTGCCTCGTGGGGAATCGGAGCAATAAATTAGAGAGTTCTATGAAATGGTGCAACGTTCTTCATCAGTGAGAACAAATCATGTTCAGAAGCATTGCGGCTGTGATCGTAGAGCATTGGCGGTTGAACCTCTGAGAATCTGGCACATCAAATGTACCGATTAGACCGACAAAGTTGCCATAATCGCAGTGTGCACTCTCTCAACACTTTTGGGAAGTCTTTGCACATCAGATCAAAACTAACGATAAATTCAGTGGGTGACATACGTCAAAAATTTGGAAGTTATGAGACGAACGAAAAGCGGAGAAATCAAGAAAAGCCGGTGTGTGTTGTGCACAGTCATGTCTGTTCTGCGGACCAAGGTGGGTGACTTCAAAGGGATAATCCATTGTGATAAAACGCTGTCCAAATAAGGCCTGTGACTCAAAGTTCGTGCAAAAAAACTAAATACAGGGATGGTATCGTTTCCAGATGCCTGTGAAAGCATTATGCATTGCACTTGTTCCAGGAAAAAGGCAACATCGAACTGAGATAATTGCTTACTCAAGCAGCATCGAGAAAGAAATCCTACACAAGCAAACCTTGATGTAGCCAGCCAAAATCGAATTGCTTATTAACAACAAAAGTGTGGGAAATGGTATGACTTACCAATTAAGTCAATCGGCCCGGCCTTTTTTGTGAACGCCCAGTCGAAAATATTGTCCAACTCCTTGTAATCTGGAACCGATATATGCCCGCTGGAATCGGAAAGTTGCACATATATACAAGGGAGATACTTTCATACATACATCAGAAGGACTGACGTATGCAATATCTGCCTATCCCATTAATACTAAACATACCCGATTCCAAATGTGGGAGTGTCGTTCATGCTGCTCTTAAACGATGTGCATTGCTGGGTCTCCATTGTAAAAAAAACCACATGGATAAGATTCACCAAGTGACAATATGAACGCGTCTTCTTGTGCTGTTCTGCGTAATCTTCTTTGCAGTCTAGGACGGAAGCCCAGGTAATACCAAGTTGAACTACAGGTCGAACAGGTGTGTGCCTAGCCCAGTTTGTTCACCAATACTGCTGGCTTCACGCAAGTTTCCTGTCAGCTATACAGCCACGGACAACTTTTAAAACTCAATCCTATGGTTTGTACCGTGGTGACAAAATACAATGAGACAGGGTGCAAGAGTAGTGCGATCACCACTCCCTATAGTCGAAGTCGATATAAACTACTGGACGCATTTCGCGAGTCCTGAACCCAACAAAACATCGTGAATGATTTCTTTTACAGGTTTTAACCTTGTGAGTTACATGAAAATCACTATAGCAACATCATTGAAGACAGAAACATCGTTGTGGAGACTGATGCTTCACTGCCAAACAACCACAGAGTTTATTTAACTATATTTAAAGCCCTGAAAAGTGTATAGATGAGGAAGCAAGCATTCTGGGGTGCCTAAGCCTTTAAACGTTGAATCGTACAATAAAGTAACAGCACGAACACGAGAAATATCGACCAACCACGGTTTCGTGCAATATCTGTAGTCAAGCATATGTTTGGAAATCCTAGAAACTTAATGACAAGGAAGACGCGGGTCTTCTGATGTAAGCGCTAGCGCTACTGAACTATGACGAAAGCTTGGTTCATTTAGCGCTCTACTTTTGGATATCTACACATACCTTCAGCGTGAATCAGGAAAACCCAGGGACCTACTTACACCCTATTTCAAGCCCACTAAAGCGGGCTAGGGGCATTGTGATCTTCAGCACTTTGTCCGAAACCAATCAGTTAGAACAATCGTTAGGGATGCTGAGTGGCTCAGAACAGATACAGCGGGATTTGTCTCTCTGAGCAGTAATGACTTTCGACTGTTCTGTGAAACTCATGTCCACTATCATAGAGATTCAACTGGAACTCTGATTCTTCGCATCCGGGTGAGATTAGTTTCGGAAGGAAAGCGTCTTGATTCTGAGATAAAGCAGCATTACGGTGTTTGTGGTTGTGCGCAGTAACAAAATTCTACATAACCCAAACCTGGCTCCGTGCCGATTGTCGTTCAGGGAGTTATTCTTAAGACCTACCCAAAACTATCTCTGAGTGCTTGGCTAAGAGAGAGTCACACACCGCTCATATAATCAAAAATGTCATAAAGAGGCTGAGTCAAATAACTGCTTTCATTCTAATGATCACTCATCCTTTATTTTCAAGTTCCGATACGTGAATTGCAACGCTAAAACAAGCATTTGAATTTGACACCAAAGAAGTAAAATCCAAAAGTATATCGAATGGGAGGAATTTTCAGGTAAGAACCTTCTCGTGCCCTCGCACCGTCATGTGTTGAAGGCTGGCGCTTCACTGTCACAAATTCAAAGCCTCGGTGTACAAATAAAAATAATAAACCTACTGATCCTTCAAACGTTCATTCTAGAGAGATCGCAACATGCGACAATAAAACAGTTTTGTCCTGAAACGTATTCTTCTCCATTCCTTTCTGAAGCGGGTGAATCACGAATTTCTCGCTATGTCTCTGCGTAAAGCGAAATTCGACTTGCAGTCGACACACCCACCTTCTGTTGATTAGAGTAAACCAATGTAAAGTGACCTCTTGGTGGAGTGCGAAGGTGTAACATGACAAAATGGCAGTGTGTGAATGTTGACGCTTCTAGGCAGTGTGTATGCACGTGTTTAACCAAAGTTTCCGAAACCGAAGCGGTCAATGCGAATGTGTATCTCCGGTGAACGAAAGTAGTTCAGAATAACGATCCGCAAACAATATGGTGAACACGAAAATCTGTGCCGGAATTTTCATGGCTGTCATAGATGCGGTCAAATCGCAAGACCGTGATGATCTGGTAGGCAAAAGCAGCAACCAGTCTTTGCAGAAGCGCCAACGTCCTGAGCAGTACCAACAACCAATATAAAAATAAAAGGTATTTTCATAAAGGAAACTACACACAAGGTTGCTGAAAACTCCTGGACAGCACACGACCGGTTTCTCCCTTCTTGTGGCTAATCAGGTAGGCGCAGTCCTCGAGTTTCCGTCAACCTTATGTCCAACTTGAACCCAAATTAGACCGACTGCGAAAAATACACTCATTTGCAAACCAATTTGGTTTTCACAGGAGACTCAAGGTACAAACGAATACCTGTAACAGGACTACACATAGTGGCATTCCTATGCAACGAACGGGTGAAAAAATGGCAGTCTGGGACTTACTCACTGTGCATATTTTCGACAAAGCAATATCGACAACTGTATATTGAACGCTCAACTAGACGGACTGGAGCGGTCTGTAAGGAGAGGGATTGGATAAATAGACGAAATCATAGTCGATCGATTGGTACCACATGAGGATGTATTCAACGGATATGCATGAGAAAAGCTGTTTGCAGATTAGAAATTGGGAATAATTCGGTATGTGCGCGATGTAAGGAACCTCTGGGTGTTTTCTATCTTCTTGAAAAGAAACGATATAAGTAGCATCCACAAACACCGAGTTACATGTACTTTCAAAGGGCAACACGGTTCGCTCTGTCCACTTTACATTCGTCTCAGAGGATCTGTTGCCGGGGAAAGGTTCGGCAAACAAATACGGCTCAACCAAATTATGCCGTTAGCTGGGATGGTGTTATAGCAAATTAACATTTTGACGAAGCCTCGTATTCAATCCACGTACAAGCCGTGAGATGCCGCCTGAAATTGTAAAGCACTGCTTCCAGATCTCCTGTGGGGTATTATCGACATACTGCTGTTAGAACACTTACCCAATAGAAAAACAAGGGCAAAATCTACTGACTGCGGCGAACGCCAAAAACAATACACTTTGAGAATAAAATGAAACTACCACATGTGAAGTATTCACCGTCACATTCCTCGACAGAGAATTCAAACTTTCTGAGAACACGTCGACGAAGATCTATCAAGAATAGACGTCCGATGCATTATCTGAGGTAGACCGTACCCAACAAAATATGAATAAAATTTGCATATTAAGGATTTATTTTCACAAGTGCCAGAACACCGGATCCACATGCACTTCATAAACGAAAATGCCGGGAACTTAACAATATTTTGTTACCAGATGCATTTGAATACATCGGGTGGCTAATTTTTTGTCATGCCACCAGGCACTTAATTAATTAATTCGTGACCCTTACAAAGAAACGGGTGCACTGTGCATCAGTCGCATCTATGGGTTTCATGAATCCTTTACAACTGCTTTATAAATAAGAATGGTTCAGCTGTGAGATGGCTCAGTAGTTGGCGCGTGAATTTACCGACCAGAAGGTCCGTATTTCGAACCTCCACCGTCTAAGATCGAACGAACTGGCAGTGTCCCAGCCTTCGTGCCCCATTCGGGTGGCATGGCAGCTAGGCTCCAGCTGAACGATCATTATTTGCCCAAGCCTAGACAGGAGTTGTGGAGATGCCCGGGTTGGATCAGAACCACGGGCCTTCCGATCCGTTCCCTATCCACTGAGTTGTCTCGGGCTCCGCGACTATTGTAGTGTTGAGGAAGTCATTATCATCACCACCATTGATAGCAACAAGAGGACAATACTAGGGTTTCATTGCGAAGATTAAAAAATTAGATAGGACGCACTTCTGGCTTACTAAAAACATCCTAGGTGCCTACTCTCCCAACAATCAGTAAAATAATCTGCAAAGAGGTGACAGCGTGAACACCACTCAAATCAGTTAGCCTGCAAGTCTGTGTCTCCGAAGGGGTCAGTTGGTCTCGTCTGAGAAAGCAAACAGTCCCCAAACTTTTCACAACACCCTTCATTTTCTTCTACAATATCATGTTCCGATCACCCCTATGTCACCGCCACTTCGAATCAGATATGCACAACAATGCTCTTCCCAGTAGATTGTAACTCGGGATGCGCAGCACACGGCGAGGCAATCGCAGCTTGCATTACTGTATATGATCCTAGAATGAAGCATCTGCCTCACTGAAGACCCATTTCATGATTGCATCACCGCGAATCCGCCGATTTCAGCTGGTTCTGAGATATCAGGGTCAAAGAGCTGAAGATGCCACCCGAAGTCTCGCAACCGTGCAACATTACAGCCCACACTGTAGTCCAATCCGTTACAAACGGAATGAACCTTACCGTTTGTGCATTTTCGTAACCTGTTGAGCTACACTGAAGTGTGTCGTGCGAAACTTGCAGAGACATTCATACTAGGATGGTCAATGTTTAGAGGCCTGGCCAAGTCTCCTAGCCCTCCTAATCGGGAGTTGGACAACGTGTAGTAGCTTCTTTTGAAAAAAATTTAGTGCATTGGTATTTCCCGCCAGACACCACTACCTCGCGGTCGGATTTTTGGTTGGGGATTGTCCGGATTTGGACGCCTTGCAAATACTGTAGTCAAAATAAAACCAGTATGCTTAAAGCCAGAAACAACCTCATGCTACATCGGTCACCGTTTGGTGTCCACAGTCGGGTCACCTTATATACAGCTGATGATAGGCTACTGCTGATGCCTTCCTCCATCCTCTTGCACATACTTTCTCCTCTCCCTTCCCGCTCTCATTGACGAAACTATGTTAGTAAGTCAATCCACTAGAACTAACGATATCATTCATTTTGCATCGGTCTTGACCTCAATACCTACGCGTGAGCCTCAGTCATACCGAAATAAACCTCCAGTAGTCGCTTGTATTTGCTCACCCGCGCTGCCGTAAGCAGCCAGTAATACAATCTGACTGGTGGTGCCACGTGATGGCCGAGGTGGCATAAGATTGATCCTGGTTATAGAAACAATGGTTGTACGTGGGCTTGGGTATAGTTAGGGCACCCAGGCCTAAACAAGAAAACAACTAGTCATCGGATAAAGCCCAGTCGTAAGGTGGTGGTAGTTCACCAGTTTACGTGTTTTAAGCAGCAATTCAACACACGTGCCCTAACGCACAACCGGGCTTTTAATATAATT